TGCAGCTTCTTTTCTCCCTGCTCAGCTCCACCATCCCTTGGGTGGGGCAGGAAACCTGGAACTTCCCTTTTTCCTGGGGACCACCCTGTTATACCTCACCATTTGGTTTGGCAATGCTATGAACCCTACACCAAAGGATCTGCTAGCAGGATCTGGAGATTGTAAAACAACAGCTCCAAAGTCCAGAGAGTTGTAGGATTGATGCCTTCCAGTGCTTGACCTTACAGAATCTTAGGGACTCCCTCTAAAAGGCTGAAGCTGATACAGGGCAGCAAGGGGCATTAAAACCAGCCAAGGACACTGTCCACATAGTTTACTGGTCACTGAGTTCTTTACCCATGCACACAATTGTAAGACTACTTAGGCTCAGGGAACAACAACAAAGGGATTCATTTAAAAGCCAGGGAAAAACAGAGAGTTACTGAGGCCCAAAATGGCCTTTACTTTACCCAAAGCCGTGTCCAGTGTTTTCTAGTCCTGCACAAAGGCAGTTAAAATGGCGTCTTCCCGCCATGAGGATGTGGAGCTCCTCTCCCAAACAATAGGCCATGTGTCCAAAATGGCGTCTTCCTGTCACTGGACACATGGCAGCCAGACTACAGGCCAGGTTTCGACTCACAAAGACAACAAAATATGCAACAGGAGATGCTCCATGAGCTGCTGGGATGCCCCAGCACAACACCAGATAAGTGACACTCAAAACAATAGTGGCCAAACGGCCCCACAAGCAACCACACTCACACATCTCAGCAAGGTGCCTGGCTCCGGCAACAACAGCAAAACTGAAACCATTTTAGTCACTTGGCTACATGAAAAGCCCTGACAGATGGTCACACTCATGCATCCAAATAAAAGGCCTGGCTCCTGGTCTCCACCTTCTTCGCCAGGCCACAACAGCCTTCTGAAAAATCGGATTGGTGGGGGCCCAAATCCACTAACTCCAAAAGCTAAATTACAGAGACTGACTGCATCAGTGCCCTTCTGCAGTCACTTATATTACTTATCAGTCGCTTCATCCCACTTTTTGGCATTTTCCCTGGGGCTATCTAGCCTCACCAGCAATCCCTTTCAGGGGGCACCAGTCTAGGGCTCCAGCCACAGATGTCAAAGCTACCTTTTGTGGGCTGTTGAGAAGAATCGAAATCAGCACCCAGATGCCACAAATATTCATAACCATGATTTTCATATAGTCAAGATTTTTATACTCCTACCTTGTATTTGCCAAGGAGAAACCTCAGGCTTTCCTGTTTAAGGATAAAAATTACTAGCTGTGGGTACCTACACACCTGGACCCTGACTCCAGTGAGGTGGGATAGCTTTAGGGTGTCCAAGTAGCATTTCAGGGATAACCAAGGGAAGGGGGTTAGCAATGGAATATCAGCATAGCAGAATCCTGAATTTGGGACTTCTCATCCCATGTACACCCTTAAGCTTTCAGTACATGTGCATGTATTCCCATCAGCCATAGACTTAAGTTGTTGTTTTGTGTATTTTCAAATATAAAGACATTATAGTCTATGCAACTTTATTCACAAAGCATTATGATTTAATCATATTAGTACTGTTCCTCTGGTTCCTTGTTTTTAACAGATGAGTGGTTTCCTAGTGTGTACAACTGTCTATTTTTCCATTTGCCTGATGGATTCCAGTTTTCTGATATAAACAATGCTGCATTTATGAGCAGAAGTTCTTGAGCTTGAGATTATGAGTTTTTCTGATGCACACAATGTTACATGTCAGATTTATTAAAAAAAAAAAAAATTCTGGGCCTCCCTGGTGGCTCAGGGGTTAAAGTCTCAGCACTATCAAGCGATTTCCAGTTACTGGGGCAGGAAATTTGATCCCTGGCCAGGGAGCTAACCCACATAGCACTATATACATCCCCTGTCTCTCCCATTACTCCCCTCAGAAGTGTATTTCAGTAGATCTGTCTGTTCTGCTCCCCACTCTGTCTCTGGTGAATCTTCTCACTCCCTGCACCTCTAGCCTACACCCCAGTTCTTGTATGCATAAATAAATTAAAATAAATCTTTTTAAAAAATTCTTTAAGACATACCCAGGAGTGGAGGAATTATTGGAATTGCTGACTTGTCAGGAATTTGCAACTTCAGTTTACTAGATGCACGTCCAAATTGCTCTCCAGGGTCGTTGCACCAATTTTCAAAAGTACTAGGAAATTTTAACTGATTCTTAACATCATGGAATTTCCAGAACTAAGCTGCCAGGCAGTGGAGTGTGAAACAATATGCTGTTGTGAATTTAATTTCTATTTTCTGATTGCTAATACAGGTAAATTTTTTTTCTTTTTTCTGGCCACTTCAGTTTCCTGTTCTGTAAAATCTCTTTTTGTAGACTGCCTATTTTCTTTTCCTTACTGATATGGGAAATTTTTATTTTGAATACTAATACTTTGTTGGTCATATGCTTGTGGATACCTACTCCTATGGCTGCCAGTAGCTTGATAGTGCTGAGACTTAACCCCTTGCACCACCAGGGAGGCCCCCTAGCTTTTAGTTTCACCTTGTGTTGTCTTGTAACACAGATTCCTAATTTAATGAGGTTAAATACTCATGACACTCATATGGCTTTTCCTTATTTATCCTGAGATTATACAAATATTCCATATTTTCTTCTATGTTTAAAGTTTGTGTTTTGCATTAGGGTTGTATACACCTGGAATGGTATTTTTTAAGATTTATTTTCATTTATTTTTGCATAGAAGAACTGGGGTGTAGGCTAGAGGTTCGGGGGGAAGAGGGGCGCGAGTGTGAGAGGATTCATCAGAGACAGAGTGGGGAGCAGAGCAGGCAGATCTACTAAAATACACTGCTGGGCCTCCCCGGTGGCGCAGCGGTTGAGAGCTGGGTTGCGAAGCTGCCCGCAGCCTCTGCAGCACCGGTTCAATCCCTGGCCACCAGCGAGGGTCCCACACGGCTTACAGACCTCTCCTGCCGCCCGCTGCTCCCCTCAGCAGTGTACTTCGGTCCTTCTGCCTGCTCTGCTCTCCCCTCTGGCTCTGGTGACTTCTCTCATCCTCCCGCGCTTCTGACTGTACCCAGTGCTTGTATAAATAAATAAATCTTAAAAAAAAAATACACTGCTGAGGGGAGTAGAAGGCGAGACAGTAGAAGTCTGCTGAGCCATGTGGGAAAGCTCCCTGGCCAGGGATCAAACTCATGCAGCAGTGACTGGCAATAGCTTGATAGCGCTGAGACTTTAACCCCTGTGCCACCAGGAAGGCCCTGGAATAGTTTCTACGTATAGAGTAAGGTAAGATTCAACTTCATTTCCCCATATAAATAATCAGTTGTCTAGCTCCATTTATTCCTTGTTTGTCTACCAATTTTCTAAAAGGGAATAAACAATAGTTGTTTTAAAGTAATAAATCTATTTAAAATGTTAGCAATTGAGGGGCCTCCCTGGTGACGCAGGGGTTGAGTCTCAGCACTATAAAGCTATCCGCAGCCTCTGCAGCAGGAGCTTGACCCCAGGCTGGCCAGGGAGCTACCCACATGGCGCAGCAGACCTCTCCTGCCTCGATCTGCTGCTCCCCTCAGCAGCGCATTTCAGTCAGTCTGTTCTGTTCCTACTCTGTCTCTGGTGAATCCTCTCACACACCTCCCCCCACCTCTGGTCTGTACCCCAGTTCTTGTATGCATAAATAAATAAATCTTTAAATTTTAGCAACTGAAATCAACAATGTTGTTGGTGTTGATAGCAACAATAACATTATGAGCAAGTTGTGTTTACCCCAAGAATTCAAGGATGAGTAACATTAAACACTATTAATATAACTGATAGCATAAAAAGTAAAACAGAAACCAGAAAAAGCATGCAATTAGCAACTCCTAATGTAATTTTTCTTAAAATGCGTGATGTTTTTAGAAATGTCTTAAAGTTCAGAGCAACAAAACCCAAGCGTGAGAAAATGATACTGCGCTATCACTGTGGTACGTGTCCGATTGCTCAGATGGCTTCCTAAGGTCACATTCAAGTCTGTGTTTCTGTGATCACAAAAATAGCACCTTTGGCAAGTGTAATTTTGTTTTGGACTTCATCCTACTCCTGGATAAAGTCCTGAGGAGCTCTGAGAAACAAAAGATTAATACGGCCCAGTGGACTCTGTTCTTCAGCTCCAGGCGTGCCCGGATCTGCGGCCGGCCTCTCCCGGAGCGGCCCCGCCGGCGCGGGCGGCGATCTGAGACCCGTTCTCCCTCTCATCCAGCCTGCGGCTCCGCCGGCGCCCGCAGATGGGAGCGCTCCAGAGACTGGTGGGTGGGGTTTCCTCTCGGCATCTCCAAATTCTCCTCCGTCCGGCCGGGGTAGGGGGTCGGGAAGAGCAGGGACGCGGGGGCCGGGGAAGGGTGGGGAGGCCTCCAGAATCAAGGGTCGGCCCTGGTACCCGAGTGCCCGGAGCCCGGGCCACCCTGGGCCGCGTGGCGGGCAGGGGCGCCAGGGGCGGGCGAGGGGCGGCCGGCGGAGAGGCAGGCGGGGTGACTGCGGAGATCCGCCGGGGCGAGGCCGGCGCCTCAGAGATGCACTTCCGAGGCGGCAGTGGCGGGGGCAGGAATTCCGGGCGGGTGGGCAGCGTGTTGGAGGGAGCGACCGGCTGGGACCCGCCGGGGAGGATGCGGGGCTTGGCTGGGGTCACCTCGTCCACAGCCCCTGTCGGTGTGCAGAGAGGGACCCTGAGCTGGGCCGAATAAGACTGAGTGGCTTTTGAGCTTCAGAATTGCTGAAAGGGCGGGATGGAGGACGAACAGAAACCGCCCTTACGGCCTCAGGCTCAGAGGATCACGGACCCCTTTAAAAACGAGCGCGCCGGGTCGAGGGTGCGCCTCCAGCGAGCCTCCTGCCCGCCAGACCTGCCGCAACACCCACCGCGCTTGCGCGCGCGCTCCAGAGTTAGCCAAGGGATCACTGCGCACGCGCCGCCCTCTCGCTCCCCTCACAGCCTTTGCCGGCGTCCCACTGAAATGGCTGCACAGGCTTCTCAACGCGCATGCGCCTCCACCGGGGCTGGGCACCTGCGCTCAGGGTGGATCCATGCAGAGCCCAACCGCGCCCGCAGAGCAACCACCGAATGCTGGAAAAGCGTGTGAGTGCTTAATGCCTTCCTGCCACCTGGAAAGATCTGAATTCCAAAATCCATCCCGGCCAGGAGTTTCAGATGAAGGATTTCGGATCCGCGTAAGCCACTCTGGAAGTCTTAAGAAAGGCGTCAAATGTAGAAAAATATCTTGTGCTTGTTTGTATAGTGGAGTTAGGTGCTAGGCTTAGACAAGCATAAGCATGTATTCACGCGCAGGGATAGCCTGGAGGCTAGTGCAAGGCTGCGTGGGGTCACATCTGCAGGACTGGTGGCACCCCCTCCTAATCCCTAGGAGGTTCTTGGGTCCTTGTGCAGGACAGACACGCCCCAAGAGGCACAGTGTTCCTGGCCACCTCCTGTGCCTGTTTCCCACCCTCTCCTTTATGCGTCCTTTCTCCTCTCTCCGCATTCACAGAGGGAATGGCAGCAGCTAGAAGAGAATGTCCACTTCATCTGTCCCCACGACCCCCAACCTGCATGATTTCCCTCAGCTGTCTGCATGGAACACCCCCTCACCTCCTTCAAGTCCTTGTGTGCATGTCACCGCAGGACATAACCCCTGACCAACCTCTTTGAACACAGCTTCCTGCTTTATGGCTCGGTCACCCAGCTGACATACTGTGTGTGAATCTTTCTGTAGTCTTTCCTGTGCCTTTCTCCTTCCTCTGGAGGAAAGCTCCACGAGGTCTCAGATTGTGTCTCTTTTGTTCACTGTGATATCCCCAGCACCAAAGACAGATTTATTATGCCTTGTAGAGAGGTAATAAATATTCATTCACTGAATTAATCATCCTAGCTAATAACCTGAATGCTTTCCATGACCAGGGAATGCACTAGGTGATTTCTAGGCACGAGCTCATTGAATTAAATAATTTTCTGCCTTCTTGAAGATCTGCCAGCATCCCCTGCCTCATGGGCTCAGTGGTCATCAGGCACTATGTCTCTTGCTGCTTCCTGTAGATGCACTATCTAGTAGAACTCTCACATGTAGAGCTTCAGTATGACTCCAGTGAGACCAGACTCCCAGATTCTCACCTGGCTTCCTCCATGGCTTCTGGCTTGGGAGGAAGTTAGTCAGGCCATATAGGAATTATAGGTAGGCAGATAGGGTGCCTGACAAGGCCCTGTCTCCAAATCTGTGGCAAGATCTGTGGAGCTTCCTCTGCCTTTTCAAACCCCCTGTACAGTCTGACCAAGTACTGAATGCACCTCTGTCTTTTCCCTGGCTGAGCCTGCTCATCCCCCAGAACAGTTTTGGCCAGGACAGGCACTCAGTATTTGACTGATGAATTAATAAATAGTTCAATATTCTGAAAAGTCTTTAGAAAACCTCTACCAAACATTTTTCTACTATGAAATTTGTATTTTTCTAAAAATTTGGCTTGTAGGACTTTAGATTTGTAGAAACATTTGCCAGAACAAGAAAAGAAATTTGATGTGTTGAGGGGAAAAAAATGACAGTTTGATTTTTTTGTATTATTAACTGTAAATGCCTAGGAAAATATCTGAGAGCAGCTGTTCATTGTTCCTTTGAAGGGGTGAGGAGCTTTGAGTATACGTTGAATTTTTAAAAACTTGATGAGTTTGCTCTTTTTATTTATTTTTTTTTTTAAAGTATTGGAACAGTTAATGTTCTTTTTTTTTTTTTATAGAGGCATGTTTATTTATTTATTTGTTTGTTTGTTTGTTCTGTTTACACATGCACTGGGTACAGTCAGAAGCGCGGGAGGGTGAGAGAATTCACCAGAGCCAGAGCAGGGAGCAGAGCAGGCAGAAGGACCGAAGTACACTGCTGAGGGGAGCAGCGGGCGGCAGGAGAGGTCTGCGCGCCATGTGGGACCCTCCTCTGGTGGCCGGGGAACAGCTGAGGATCGAACCGGCGCCGCAGAGGCCACGGGCAGCCTCGCAACCCAGCGCTCAACCGCTGCGCCACCGGGGAGGCCCAAGTTTGCTCTTTTTAAATTAAAAATCATAAAAGGAAAATATGAATAAGACTGAATCCTTTAAAAATTGCCAATTAAATGGGACAGGGCATCAGATCAGATCTCATGACTGCATGTCTTGGGGACTTCTCCCTCCATTTCTAAGGGGTCCCACTAGGATGATGAGCTGTACTTTATTGTACCAGGTGTGTGTGGTGCATGTGTACCTTGGCTACCCCTCGCCCTGGGCTGGAGGTAGGCATTGTCATCTCCAGGTCCAGGCAAGGAAGTGACTCAGGTTGAGGAGTAGGGCAGAGCCGTCTCTGGGACTTAGGCACTGCTGCCAGCTGTGACTGCTCTGTGGCTGCTATGCTCTCTAAGTCTCAACACAAGTTTGTTTGGGTGACCCGTTCTCTTAGCCTCATTGCAGAACAGGCTGGAGACAAGAGAAGGAACCCAGCCACTGTTGGAGAGTGTTTTGATGGGGTAAGAGTCACTGGACTCAGGAGCTCCTGTTCTGCTAGGGGCAGACCTTCACCCTCCTGGAGCCCCAACTCAGGGTGGCCTTCCAAACCACAGCAGGCATGCCCAGCATCAGCCTGGCAAGGAGGGCCGGGAACTTCTGTCCATCTCAAGAAAAAGCTGACAGGGTGGCAGGGTAAGAAGGCAGTGGTGTTCTGTACTCAGAATTGTAGGTTTGGGTTTCTCTGCTACCTGCCAGCCCTGTATCTGGATAATGCCTCTCCTCTGTGCCTCGCCTTCCTCATCTTCAAAGTGGAGATTTTGTTGCCTGCTTCAAACAGATTGTAATGCTGTGATTGGTATGTTCCAGCCCAGGGATGGAGGTAGAGACTGTTCATGGTCACTCTGTGTCTTCCCCTCTCTCCTCAGATTCAGGGCAGAGTCCTGTTCCTGACCATTTGTGCAGCTGGCATTGGTGGGACTTTTCAATTTGGCTACAACCTCTCCATCATCAATGCCCCAACCTTGGTATGTACCCTCAGTGTGAGTGGGTTCCTGGTGAGGGCCAGCAGCTGCCTACTGCGGGGGGTTTCATGGTGGCGCCTTTTCCCATGTGTTCACCTCCCATAGGTGGGATGTCCCAAGGTCCTGTAGGTTCAAATCCAGCTCTGCATCCTCTCCTATACCTGCATGTCCTCCCTAGTCCCTGCTGTCAGCGAATGACTCCAATATCCTCCCAATGATTGGGGATCAGTGTTGACTCTGCCTCCATCTCTCCAACACCAAGTCCTTCCTAACTACCTATAGCATCCATGTATTTCTCCTGTGTCTCTGCCACAGCACCAGCTTAGGCCCTGTTTCTTCTGCTAGATCTCTAGACTTAGCTTCCTCACTTGCCTCCTTGCATTCTGCATCCTCTCAAGTTTGGTCAAGATATTACCTTGTCCAGAAACATTCTGTACTCCCCAGTGCCTATAGACTATCCACTTGAAGCTCAAGATCTAGAATCAGAACCTGTCCACTTACCTCTTCTCCCTCCGACCCTGCTACCAAAGTAGGTAAATTGCAGTTCCCCAAATGTACCCAGCCCTTCTTGGAAGCCTCCTTCCACTGGGATGTCCTCTCTGCCCCACCTGCAGAAGCCCTTCAAGTCCTGCCCAAATCCCATCACCTTCCTGAAGCCTTCCTGTAACCATCCCATCAACTGAAAATCACCCCTACCTCCCCAGCCCTTGGTGCAGGCTGTCATCACTCAGGTTGTATCTGTTTGTGCCCAGTACATCCTCCTGCTGGCTTGCTCTCACTTTGAGTCATCTTTGAATGTCCTGCACCTGGATGACCTGGCTTGTGTGGGTGTTCACTGAATGCCTGTGGAAAAGACGAATCTTTCAGACTCAGTGATAGAAGCCAGTTTCTTAACTTGCTTAAGAAGGACAAATACCCAGTCATATATCATTAGGGAGGATGTGGATCTGCATAGTGTGTGTGTGTGTGTGTGTGTGAAGAAGAGCTGCATGAACCAGGCCCTAGGAGGGAACTAGTGTTCTCCTCTGATGTTGCCTGGCCTCATTCTCCTCCGAGTGGACAAGAGAGCATTGGTCACCACACTCACCTGGTGCCAGCTGGGCACCCCCAAACAAGTCTTGCCTGGTAGCTGCAGCAAGGTTTGGGAAGACTCTGATTGGCTGATTTGTATCACATGATCACCTCAAGAGCAGTCATGTAATAAGGAGGGTGGAGCACCTTGATGGGCCAAGTCTGGGTCAAGTGACCACTTTTATGGAGGGAAACTGACAATGGGAGAGAACTTCCCCAAGGAAGTAGCCGTTAGCAGGAGCCAGGAATAGGAGTACGTTCTAGGTAGCAGCCCAGCACCTTAAAGAAAGGATGAATGGAGATGAAGAGTTTAGAAAGGAAGTCTGAGCTGACTGTATTCAACAAGCATGAGAGCACCCACTTCATTGCAAATTTATAGGTCCGGAAGGGATCCATTGGCAGCTGGGCATTCTCAGGACTCCCATGGGTTATCACTAGCCCCCAAATATGGCCTCAGAGGCTTCCCCTGTTTTCCTGAATAAACACTCTTGAGGAGTTCCAGCCAACGTCTCAGCTACCTGGACAGATCCTCCCCTCAGAAGTGCTTGGCGGCACAGATATTTCCCTGAGCTGACCCGCCAGGGCAGGAGAGAGTTTGCCAACACCTAAACCCACCGCTCTCACATCCGCCCTCATGTCCTGTTGGGTGGCCTGAGAGCATCCAGACACTCACATTTCATCTCTAACTGGGGGGAGGGTGTCTAGGTTCTCCAAGTGCAGTCATTACCTGAAGTGGCAGCTCTGGGGGTAAGGGCCCAGGGTGTCCAAACTACCCGGCTACAGCCCTGACCTGTGGCTAAGGCTGTGGGCAAATCTTCACCTCTCTGGACCTAAATCCCAGTCTTAACAATGAACAGCAGAAGGTGTATCTAACAGGACATTTACAGGAGCTTATCATTGTCCGGGTCCCGAGGAAACTCGACACACTCCAGATAAGTCAAGTAGGTTTTGATACCACAATGTACTGAGTGGGGCAGAGGGGCCACATGAGCAGGCAAGTGCAGTGGTCGCGCTCGAGTCCTTTCCACCACCTGGAAGGGGCAGGTGGAAGGAGCAGCTACTGAAACCACAGGAAAGAGCCACGTGGCCTAGGCCACCTTGAGAGGAACAGACTTTTAGTCAAGTGTCACGGCCAGTGTGAGGAGCCCTCCCAGGCAGGGCACCCCATTTCCATCTCCTGCCTCCTCTGATGCCCTGCTCACATGGGCCAAGTCTAACAGAGAGCCAGTCAGCAAGGGAGCCTGTGAATATCGGCTGTGCAGGTGGCTTCTGGGCCAAAAACGGGGAAAGGGGTGACAGTGGACTCAGAGGGGGCAGTAGAAACTGTCCAGCCCCAGACTCCAGGAGACATTATGTGTGAAAGAGCCGAGAACAGTGCCCTGCATATGAGAGGGGACACTTGCCTGCCCTGCCGAGCCCAGTGGGTGGAAATGCCTGGTGCGTGGACTCTCCTCCCTGAAGGGCTGACTGATATCTCTGTTCATAGTACATTCAAGAATTCACCAATGAGACTTGGAGGGCACGGACAGGCCAGCCACTGTCCCACCGCCATGTTCTGCTCGTGTGGTCCCTCATCGTTTCCCTGTACCCCCTGGGGGGCTTCTTGGGAGCATTACTTGCTGGGCCCCTGGCCGTCAAGCTGGGAAGGTAAGTGCTTTTTGTTGTCAGCTTAAATAAATAGAGGCAAGCAAAAGTAAGTGAGTTTAGAGGCAAGCAAAAGTGAGTTTATTAAGAAATTAAGACTAAGGACTGCAGTCTAGGAACAGCCTCCAGAGAGGTCAGGGAAAGCTGCCCATATTCTGAGCTTCTCAATGAGAATTATATGCAGTAGCAAAGATGCCACATGGAGTAATTTCAAGGATTTTTACAAAGTAAAATATAGGTGGAGGTTTTAGCTGATGTCTGGGCATTGAGGAAAACAAAGAACCTTGTTAAAATTCATCCTATCTATTTAGTCTTTTCTTCTGGGAAGAATGTTACACATCTCAGAATTCATATTCTTTGAAGTTACTGATTTGTCTAGAGGCAGCAGTTTCCAAAACACTGCTTTTTCGCAAAGACTACATTTTTTCTGGGCACAATTTCTTTAGGACCAGACCAGCTGTGTCCTGGCTTTTGGCTTGTACCCTAATTGGTACCAGGCAGAGGGGTAGTGACTTGTCATCTTTGGTTAACAATGGGTACCCTCTAACTGTCTGTTAATAATGGCACCCCAGCATGCAGGCTGAGGAGTGGGGGAGAAAGAAGAGGACTGGCAGGCACCAACCTCAGTCAGCTCCTAGCTCAGTCTCTTACTTTGCCTGGCGTCGCACCATGAGTCCTATTTCCAAGTGGACCTGGGACAGCAAAGAGTTCCCTGCCCCGAGGAAGGGAAGATCCTGGTGTCACATCATCTGCCAACAAGAGCTGGTTGACCACAAATATATATATTCTCCCTGGGCCAGTGTTTCCACTGGCTAAGTCTCTTTGGCCATTGGGCTGACCCAAATTTTCATTTCTTAGTGGACTTGATATCTTGATGGCGTTGGTATCTTTAGCAGGTTGTTATACTGAGGCCACCTATTCCTGGGAGAAGGGATTCACAATGCAATGAGTTTCATGGGTGCGGGCCCACATTCTTCACTATGTGACTTCCTTTTGGGGATCCAAAATTGCATGGGTTTTATGTTTGTGTATTTAATTGTCATATCTATTGGGATATCATCAACTGCAAGTATCGTCAACTGCAGTTGTCTAAAACAATAGGAGTTTTTTTTTCACCTTACAGGGCAAGTCTTGTATGGGTGACTTCAGGACAGCCTCCACTCCCCAGATCTGTCCCCCTGACATGCCACTGGCTGCCAGCTCCGCTGTGTATAGATAGCTTGGTCCTTAGGCTGGTAGCTGGGAAGCTACAGTAGTATCTTATTCAGATGCAAAACATCAACCACCAGAAGGATTTCTTGCCAATTGATGCTTTATATCAGAAAGGGATAAACCTTTCTAAAAGGTGCTGCATCGCATTGCCTAGCACTGGGTCACCAGTGTAAAAAAAAAACATGATAACCAAGCTGGGCTCGATGATCAGGGTCACACCTGAGCCATAAGGAGTATGAGCACATTCAAACAAATTGAAACTCTTCTTGCAAAGAAGGTAATAATAACTATTGCCCAAAGCTCCAGTGATACCTGGCAGAAGGAAAGGAATTAAAAATTCAGATTCAGCACAGATGACTTTTCCACTTGTAACACATTACTGTCCCATCCCTATGTAGAGATCCGGTGTCATTCATTTTCCTCCCAGCAGTTCACGGGAGCCCTGGAATGCGTTGCCATTCCTGGGCATTGGGGTGGCTGTGTGGGGCAGTGAGGCAGTTAGTTAGCTTGCAGACAGGGGCCCTATTGTTTAATCAATTTGCATTGTCTATCCTTGTGACCTTGCCTGCTTTGTTTGTGAGCACTGGGCTGCTGAATGCCATCCTCCCTGGGGTTCATCCTGATTTTGTTTAAGATTTATTTTTAGTTATTTATGCATACAAGAACTGGGGTGTAGGCCTGAGCTGTGGGGGTGGGGTGGGTGGGCGGTGAGAGAGACAGAGTGGGGAGCAGAGCAGCCAGCTCTACTGAAATACACTGCTGAGGGGAGCATTGGATGAGACAGAAGACATCTGCTGTACCATGTGGGTTAGCTCCCTGGCCGGGGTCGAGTCTTTAACCCCTGCTCCACCAGGGAGGCCCTCTCTGCCTGCTTGTGAACAGTTTCTTCTGCAATGGCAGGGGGCCTCTGGTGAGCAGAAATATGGACTCATCTATGTTCAGGTTCTGGGTCTCAGTTCTGAGAGATTTTTGTATTCACTCTTTCCTACTCCTCTTTGAAGCCAGTCTTCAAGTTCTGCTTCATCTAAGGCTTTATGCAGCCAAACCTTTGGAAAAGGGAAAAAATTCCATGCTCAAAATTCTGTCCACAGGAAAGGTTTAACGTCTCCAGCATTTTGTAGGGCCACGTTTGAGTGGACTTCAATGCTATAGCACTACATTTCTGCTTAGAGCCAAACTGTGCATACAAGCACCTGCTAACCAGATCAGGTTTTGTTTTGCTTTGGGTGGGGAGAAAGGTGGCAGATTTGCCAGTGGGCATACTGATGTGAATAATCTGCTTATGGGAGCTTTTGGACCCACAGGGCAAGTTGGGTGTTTTCCACTTCTTTTCAGTAATGAAGTGCTACAAAGAACATTCAGCTTTGCATAGGAGTGTCACCTGACACCAGGTTTATGGTGGGCTTATGGTCACCAGGTGTCCCACAACCTGTTTATTGCTCATTAGGGCCTATTGACAAGGCCAGGAGTTACTGCTGATTAAGAAGATAGTCATTTACTGAAGTAGGGTGAATTTACTCTAAAACTCTTGGCCATGCATCGTGATTCTCCTTTTAGGCACTGTTTCAGACACTTAGAGCACCATCATAATCTCCTGGTACACAGCTCTTTGCACTTGACTTTGACCTAGAGAAGGCTTCACTTGCTTATCACTACTTGATGCTATCAGGTTTTCAAATCACCTAGTATATATGTCAGATCACGAAACCCAATGTAGTAATGCTGCCACCAACATGGAAAAAAAATCTTCTGTAATTTGTCCATCCTTCTTAGGAGAAGGGCAGCAATTTGTCATACTCTGGAAGAAATATGCTGACGTGTCTTACTCCATTAGCCTTCAAGAACATCACTGAGTCCCTCATTTTTATGCTCCTGTTGTTTGTCATGTTTGTACCTTACCAGTACTACCAACACCAGTATATTTGCTGCTTCCTCCTTTCTGGGTCCTTTCACTACGAAGTTATCAAAGTAGTAGACCAGAAGGCTACCACATGGAATGTACAGCCCCTGTGGAATATTGTAGCTCAATGCTTGAGGGATGCTGTAAGGACAGGAATGGGCACAGTGCAGGTTTTCTGATCCCATGCAGACCGGGTAAAGGAGGAGTCAGAGTCCTCAGTGGTTTTGCAGGTTTTTATTGGGGTTCAGTGGGTACGTGGCAGGCAGGCGTGCTGGGGGGCTGGGAGGACTGCCAGCCTCCCAGCCCCCAGCAAATCTTCACTCTATCTGGGCTCTCTGGCGTTCTCTGCTTCTGCTTCGGGCTTCTTCTCTTTTGGCTTCTACTGGCGTCCCCGTGACACCGTCCTTGAAAGCACAGTCTTAGCACAGGTATACCCCTTCAGGTGCCTGCCATCAGGCATGCATTCAGGATCACAGGATTCCCTCATCTATCCTGATGGTGGGAGGGCAGAAAAGCCTGATTTTTTACCTTACCTACAGATGCTATAGCCTAAGACATGTTGGGAAAGGCAGCCTATATCTTTGCCACATGAAAGCTCTGTGTTTCTGGTGTTATCTGCATATTGAAATACAGCAAAATATGTTCCACAAATAAATAGGCACAATTGGAGTACTTTATTAATTTATTACCAGCGAGGAAATTGTACAGGGTATATTTTTGGGTTGTCAGAAAAGTCATGATGCATTTTTGCATAGAAAAAAAGACCTCATGACTTTTCTGACAGCCCAGTAGTTACAATTGGAGTTTCTGTTGGATCAAGTTTGTTATAACCTACTCTCATTCTCCATTTTCTAGACACAGGAGATCTAAACTTTGGCTTATATTCTGTCATTGATATGTTGTTGGCTTTGGGCAGAACACTGGCTTCCTCTGGCTTTCAGTTTCCCTATCAGTGCAATTTTGATCTATGGTAAACTCTCCTGAGTGATCTATAGGCAGCACTTCTGAGGTCATTATCAGGAGCTGGTAATTCATCAGGTGGAGCATCATCATGGAGGACATTTCCAGCGCCACCTGGCTGGCAGTCTGTCCAGTTGAACTAGGCATGGGCCACCTGGCCACCTGATGGTTCTGAGAAGTGACTTTATAATACATGGAGGAAAGTGAGGGTTTTGTATTTGACTTTCCATGCATTCTTCCCCCACTCTGAAAGTCCCCATTCTTCCTCAGGTTTTATTGAGTCTGAGAAATTAGGTATTAGTGGGCCTCCCCTGGTGGCACATGCGGTTGAGCAGTGGACTGTGAAACTGTCCTCAGCCTCTGCAGCGCTGGTTCGATCCCCAGCCGCCAGCGAGGGTCCCACATGGCGTGACAGACCTCTCCTGTCTTGCCCGCTGCTCCCCTCAGCAGTGTATTTCGTCAGTCTGCCTGTTCTGTTCCCCGCTCTGGCTCTGGTGAATTCTCTTACTCTCCCGCACTTCTGACTCTACCCAGTGCTTATATAAATAAATAAATCTTTAAAAAAAAAAAAAGAAATTAGGTATTAGCCTTTTGTTGAGTCTGAGAAATCAGGCATTGGGCTTTTCATTTTTAAAAAATATTTATTTATTTAGTAGAACTGGGGTATAGGCCAGAAGTGTGGGGCATGAGAGGATTCACCAGAGACAGAGTGGGGAGCAGTACAGCAGATTAACTTAAATACACCGCTAAGGGGAGCAGCAGGCGAGACAGGAGAGGTCTGCTGTACCATGTGGGTAGCTCCTTGGCTGGGAATCGAACTCAGGCTGTGGCGGTGATAGCGCTGAGACTTAACCCCTAGGCCACCAGGGAGGCCCAGGGTTTTCATTTTCACACAGGCGTTTGAGGATAGAGCCATGAAATATTTTATGGTTTTGTCATTTTAAGTGGTACAGGCAAAAGGAGAGTGATCGGGGTATGTTAGGGGAGGGCAGTGGGAGTATGCTTAGAAAAGTATACTGTGAATGACCCTAGGTACTCTGACCAGGGGTCATTTCTCTTCATATAGCTTAGGATCCTTGACATCATATGTGCACCCACAGGTCTGATCAAGGCTGATTGGATGGAACTGCAAAGAGGGCCCCCAGGGATACCCCTCTAGACTGAACCTGATCCTTCTTGCCTGTGTTCCACTTCCCTCAAGGAAGAAGTCTCTGCTGGCGAATAACGTCCTTGTGTTGACTGCTGCCATCCTGTTTGGCTTCAGTCGCGGGGCAGGCTCCTTTGAGATGATCATTCTGGGAAGGCTGCTGGTGGGAGTCAGTGGAGGTATGTGGAGAGGGCTCTCTGTTCCTACTCATTCATTTATTCCCTTTATTCATTCATTTTCCTTATTCATTGATTTGATTTTCATACATGCCTACCTTCTTAGCAATGTAATTAAATATAGTTTATCTTTAAAAGTTCACATAGCTGGACACTTAAAGTAGATATAGACGTGAAAATATTGTAAAGAGTGGGAAGACAAATATCCCCAAGCTTACACTCATAGAGGTTTTATATTGAGAAACCCTCTAAACCGTGAACTTTCTGCAATGAGTTCTTTGATCTTCCCTGCAGAAGCAGAATAGCCTGTTAGGGAGTCCTCAGTGTCTGGGGCTTATCATGACAGGGGACAAAGTTTTGAGAACATCCACACTGGCTTTTAGGTCTTCTATCAATAAGTCCCCTCTTGATTTCCTACTGTTTATACCTTCAGGTGTTGATGGCTATATTAGTTATCCATTCCTGGGAAACAAAGTACTCTAAAGCATAGTGAATTAAAACAACCAACATTGATTATCTCACAGTTTCTGTGGGTCAGAATGGGCCTATGTCAGTTAGTCCTGGTTTAGGCTCTCTCATGGGGCTGCAGCCAAGCTGTGAGGCAGGGCCACAGTCTCTCAAAGGCTCAGCTGGGCTGCAGGATCCGCTTCCAAGAAGGTGCCTTCATGGGCTGTTGGCAGGAGGCCTCGGCTCCTCACCCTGTGAGTCTACATGGGACAGCTTGAGCGTCCTCCCGGCATGTTGGCTGGCTTCTTCCGCAGTAAGTGATCAGAAAGAGAACATGTGTGAGAGTCTGTGCAAGGAAGACATCCCAATATTTTTTTGTCCTAATTTCATAAATCATATATCATCAGGTTTTAAAAAAATATATAGTTTTATTGAGGCGAGATGGGTTTCCCACACTGTATATGGTTTAGGGATAGAGCTTCACCACTCTTCAGACTTGTTTTATCAGACCACACCCACACCAAAGCACCAGTAATTTTCTACCATAGTCCACTGACCCGCTTCCTCCTTTGCTCCCCCTCTGGTAGCCTCAATTCTGCAGTCAGATTTTAGCAGTTTTTTTTTTTTAAACATTATTATCATTGTCTTTTTTTTTTAAAAAAAGATTTATTTATTTATTTATACAAGCACTGGGTACAGTCAGAAGTGCGGAAGGGTGAGAGAATTCACCAGAGCCAGAGGGGAGAGCAGAGCAGGCAGACTGACGAAGTGCACTGCTGAGGGGAGCAGCAGGTGGCAGGAGAGGTCTGCGCGCCATGTGGGACCCTCACCCGGCGGCCGGGGATCGAACAGGTGCTGCAGAGGCTGCAGGCAGCTTCGCAACCCAGTGCTCAACCACTTTAGCAGTTTTTTTTGATTTGGTTTTGTCTGTTCCTTTGCTTTGTTTCTTTATATTCCACATACGAGTGAAGTCATCTGTTATTTGTCTTTCTCTTTCTGACTTATTTTGCTTAGCATAATCCCTTCCGGTTCCATCCATATTGCCATCCAAATGGCAAAATTTTATTTTTTTTTAAATGCGAGTCACAGTCTTCCCTGATGGTGCAAGGGGTTGAATCTCAGCACTATCAAGCTATCACCAGTCACTACAGCATGAGTTCGATCCCCAGCCATGGAGCTGACCCACATGGCACAGCAGACCTCTTCTGTCTTGCCCGCTGCTCCCCTCAGCAGTGTATTTCAGTGGATCTGCCTGTTCTCCCTGCTCTGTCTCTGGTGAATCCTCTCACTCCCCCAACTTCTGACTTACACCCCAGTTCTTGTATATATAAATAAATAAATAAAAATCTTTTTTTTTTTTTTAAAGCGAGTCATTAAAAACAAGCCAAACTCCAGAAAAAGGGAGCAAGTCAGCCTTTGTGTCCTGAATATCCTAAATGTTTGTAGGAAGAGCAGGTGTCTTTGAGACGTCTCCTTGTTCTTTTTTTTTTTTTTTTATAGAGGCATGTTTTGTTTGTTTGTTTGTTTGTTTTGTTTATACGTGCACTGGGTACAGTCAGAAGCGCGGGAGGGTGAGGGAATTCACCAGAGCCAGAGTGGGGAGCAGAGCAGGCAGAAGGACCGAAGTACACTGCTGAGGGGAGCAGCGGGCGGCAGGGGAGGTCTGCGCGCCATGTGGGACCCTCCTCCGGTGGCCAGGGAGCAGCCAAGGATCGAACCGGCGCCGCAGAGGGTGCGGGCAGCTTCGTAACCCAGTGCTCAACCGCTGCGCCACCGGGGAGGCCCCGTCTCCTTGTTCTTTTAATCTGCTTACAGAAGGAGGCAGGCCCTTTATGACAGCTATTTTCTGATCCCAGGTCAGGGAGGGGGATGGAACAGGTGGCTAATGCCCCAATACTATGGCACTATCAGGGGTGGGCAATGGTGGCGATGTCCAGTTCTATTCACCCCCCCAGTACTAGGTGCCTCCCTGGGTGATAAGGTGAGAATCTACAGCAAAGGTGGTCAGTGAAAGCAATGATGTGAGTGCTGGAAAAGCTGGTGGGCATCCAGGATACCCCTCTACCCTTTTCCTCCCACTACCCACTCATATTCCTCAGAGTCCTTCACACTCATGTCAGTGATAGGAGACTGGAAAGATTAGATGACTATGTTGCAGTGATAGTAAGGGAACAGAATGGGAGCTTCTTTGAGAAAAACCTGTCTGAAGTCCTGGGGGTAAATTTGGAGTCTTGCTGATGTACATAGGGGAGGAGGAGCACACTCTCACTGTATGGAGTGAAGGAGCAGCCCTCCAGGCCAGGACCTTGTAGATGAGGGGTTGGAGGTGCCAAGGAGCAGGGGAAGCAGGTCTGGGTGTCACGGGGGACTGACATGGGGCTGACTGTCTCTGCTGTGCATGGGTCCAGGTGTGAGCATGTGCATCCAGCCCATGTACCTGGGGGAGAGTGCCCCCAAGGAGCTCCGAGGAGCAGCGGCCATGACCTCAGCCTTCTTTGCAGCCCTGGGGATTGTGATGGGTCAGGTGATCGGACTCAGGTAAGAGCCCCCTCCCCATGGCTTGAGGGATGCCAATAAAAGTCCTTTGTCTACATTTTCCCCCTATCCACCAAGTAGATGAAGGCACTGCTTCTTTGTATTAAGGCATTAAAACCCTGTCCATGTCTATTCTGACCAATACACGATGTGAGTACCAGTCAACTACACATCAGTAAGAACCACACTTTTGCAATTCTGTCTACATCATGGAGCAAAGATTAGGTCTTAATAGAGAGGAGTGTATAGGTGTGAACTCTATTTTTTTTTAAGATTCATTTTTATTTATTTATGCATACAAGAGCTGGGGTACAGTCCAGAGGTGTGGGGGGTGAGAGGATTCACCAGAGATAGAGTGGGGAACAGAACAGGCAGACTGACTGAAATACACTGCTGAGGGGAGCAGCAGGCTGCGCCAAGTGGGTCACGTCCCTGGCTGGGGATTGAACTCGTGCTGCAGTGGCTGCGGATAGCTTCATAGTGTTGCATCTTAACCCCTTGCACCACCAGGGAGGCCCCAAGGTGTGAACTTTAAAAGGGGAATGTAACCTGGTAAGCCCAGAAAAGAAAGAGCCAAAGGCTGGTACCCTAGGAAGAAGAGTTTCTAGGGATGACGTGAGCCATGACCCTGCCCCATTTCGGGTGGTTGTATCTGGGTGGGATTGGTCCAGTTTCAGGGCTGGTTTAGGAAGAGGCATAGGGCAGTGTTGACTCTCTACCCTCCAGAGGGTAAGTATACAGGGAATGACTCTGAGGTGTGGTAAGAAGGCAGGCGGGCCAGTGCTCTGGCAAGGAGGTACCAGGCTTAGTCTTCTCTGCTTCTCCAGGGAACTCCTGGGTGGCCCACAGGTCTGGCCCCTGCTGCTGGCCAGCTGCCTGGTGCCTGGGGTGCTCCAGTTGGCCTCCCTGCCTCTGCTCCCAGAGAGTCCACGCTACCTCCTTATTGACCGTGGAGATACCAAAGCCTGCCTGAAAGGTGAGTCTCTGACCTGGGACGCCCAAACCTCCCTTGACCGTGGCAGATGATTCCCCTTTCCTTGAGTTTCATTTATCAAGGAAAAGTCACCCCTCTCTTTGTGCCTCAATTTCATGATCCACCCAGTTATTCTTTATCAAAGTACTGCCCAAAGACCAATGGAAGTGGGGTGGGTCAGACTGAGTCCCTACCACTTAGGAACCATAGGGTGCTAGAGAAAGCCCTCTCCGCATCCCCCCACACACGTGCAAGATGGAACACTGTAAGACCTTATGGGTCCAATGCCAGTTGGGTGCTGATGGTCCCATCTGTTAACTCTGGCTACAATAATGATTCCCAAGGAACAATCCCCAAATCGCTGGCTTAAAACAAAAATCACTTACTGCACAATCTACTCATTTAATTGCTGGGCTGGCTGCAGGATTCCACTGACCTCATTTAAGCTGACTCCTGGTGTCAGGGGCCAGCTGTGGATGGCCACTCTGGCCTGGGCCAGAGCAGTTTAGCACTGCTGCACATACTTCACCTCTTGCTGTTGGTACTGCCCAGCTGGCCCAAGGATGTACTTATTACAGTGATGGCAGAGACACAAGAAAGCAAATCAAATTGCACCACAATTTCCCAATCTTTGGCACCCTTGTGCCCATTAAGATCTCATTGGTCAAAGAGAGTCACAGTTGAACCCAAAGTCAAGGGATAGGAAAACCTATGGCATATCCCATCACAAAGTAAGGAGTGTAGATTCAGGGAGCGGTAAAGACCAGGGCCCAGTAACGCACTCTTCTTAGCTTGCCATTATGACCACAGTTATTATTCGTGCCCCTCTCTTGTACAAAACATGCTCAATACCATCCTAAGATGCCCCAAACTCTCATCTGTCACAATACCAGCTTCAAAGCCCAGGGTCTTTTTTTTTTTTTTTTTTTTTTTTTTTTTTTAAGGATTCATTTATTTATTTATTTATACAAGCACTGGGTACAGTCAGAAGCACGGGAGGGTGAGAGAATTCATCAGAGCCAGAGGGGGGAACAGAACAGGCAGACTGACGAAATACACTGCTGAGGGGAGCAGCGGGCGGCAGGAGAGGTCTGTCGCGCCATGTGGGACCCTCTCTGGCGGCCGGGGATTGAACCGGCACTGCAGAGGCTGTGGGCAGCTTTGCAGCCCAGTGCTCAACCACTGCGCCACCAGGGGAGGCCCCCAAAGTCCAGGGTCTTAAGATCACTTCACAGCTCTTTATGCCTTTCCTTGATCCAGAAACCTAGGAGCTAAAACCACAAGTTTTTGCACACCCCTCTGCCCCATACTCAATAAACAATGGTGAAAGTGGGACAGGTAACCAGACATAACCCTCCTTTCTAAAAAGAGGAGGCTAGCAATCAAAAAGCATTTACCAAGTCATAGCAGTGCTGAAGTGGCCTGGGAAGCACTGCCAGGTCCTCCTCCATTGGGGACAGAGAATATTTCTTGATCAAACCCTGGCTCCTCACCTGAAGGGACTCCCCAGGTAATGGGGATGAGGGGGTTCTTGCTTCTAACTCTCCAAGATGCCCTTCCTTTTTCATTCTCTTCCTCGACACCTTCTAAACAGAGTGTTAGAAAATGTCCTTTTATATTTTTAACTGTCTTGGTCTCTTTCATCCAGGCTGACAGCTTTTGTCAATACAACTTTCTCAAAAACAATGTGAATTTTCTGTGTGCGTGATCTATGTATCAGAGCCACAGCCACAGTTCTTTCTGAGACATGCGCCTCTGTGAGACCTAATTATTAGAATTTTGAGGCCTTTTCCAGCCACGAGGGTCTATGAGGCACTGCTTTAAGCCACGTCCTTGATTTGAACTTTACCAGAGTCCTTGGCTCATTGGCATGACTCTGAATTTAATCTTTGCTTTCAGGCTGTAATCTGATCTGGAATTCTTTTGACTAATTGGAGAGACTAGAGGGAAGAAATAAATTTGTTTTTTGTTTTTGTTTTAAATTAAATTATACTAAAAAATTCTGGAAGAAGTTAAATTTAATGAATTTTGTTCCTTCCGAAGACCTTTTATGAACTCATGTTTGTTTGTTTTTTAAATTAAAAAGCTCATTTTTTTTTTAGAATACTCAGCTATAGGCAACCAGTTCATGCTTTCAACACTTGGAGAGCTGTTTATGCAAGTCCAGCAGTTCATTCAGTCTGCCTTCTTTCTTCCACACTACTACCCTACATACACAGACTTTCACTTTTCCATCCTGTCTGTTTTGGAACCAATACCATGAGTCACAGACCCTAGTTAGCCACAGCACTACTCCTGGTATTGGTTAATTGGTCTGTTTCTATTGCTGCCCAACAATCACATCTCAAAGGCAAACAGGAAAGCACTTAGCTCGAGCCTCTGTGGGTTCTCTAGGGTTGGCTTATATAGGTTGGGTCTGGCTAGTGGCTCTGCTCATATTGGCCATACATGCTCAGTGGGCTACCCTGCATGCTCTTCTAATGATGTAGAAGAACAAGCAGAAATGAACACCATCCCCTAAGGCTAGGGCTGGAAGCCCACCCAAGGCCCTTTGGGCTTTGGTTCTTGCTGAAGTCATGATGGATGTCTGGGTGGTTGATGAGTGCGTGTGAACATAGTATTGCCTACATTCAACCCACCTGGACTGAGGCTTCTTGGAGGGAACGGCTGGAGGAAAGCACCAAGAGTTCCCCACTACCAATCCTAAGGCCTCACTGTATTGGCCCAGAGCATGTTACAAGGTGGAGCCCAGCACCAAGGATGAGATATGCTTGCCTTTTAGTAGGCCCAACTACAAAATCCCATTGCAAAGGGCATGGATACATTGTGGGGTGAAGAATTGACAAGGATAGTGCGCATGTGCCCCAAAGGTAGTACCCCCTCTGATAGGTCCACAGTCCTGAATTTCTAAAGCCCTTTCTGGTTTGTGGTGCTGTGACATGGCGGGGCCAGGAGGCTCATCCTTGTCTGAGGGAATGGGGTGGCAGGGAGAAAGGTGTTGAGTGAGGGGAACCTCAGCATCCCATTTTCCCAGCACTGCAGCGACTGCGGGGCACTGCGGACGTGACTGGAGAGATGGAGGAGCTGCAGGAGGAGCGCTCTGCTTGCCACGGCCTGCCCTCTCGGCGCCTATGGGAGCTGTTTCAGGATCCGACCCTGCGGAGGCAGGTGATGAGCCTCGTGGTGCTGGGCAGTGCCATGGAGCTCTGTGGGAATGACTCGGTGAGAACCCCCCATCCTACACCACCCCAAGCTCTGGGCCCGGAGACTTTGTACTGCAGGCAGGTGGGAGCTGCAGGAGGTTGAAGGGAGGGAATGCGCCAGAGCCCACCCTTCCCGTTCTCCAGATGTACGCCTATGCCTCTTCCGTGTTCCGGGAGGCGGGGATCCCTGAGGAGAAGATCCAGTATGCAATCATGGGCACTGGGAGCTGCGAGCTGCTCACTTCCTTTGTCAGTGTGAGTTTGGCCCTGGGCTGGCCCTCCACCAGTCCTGACCATGAAAGGGGGTTGTGGGGAGAGTACTGCCTCAGGGTACTGACACTCTTAGGACTTTAGGCCTCTGGAATGAAACAATTTTCCACACCAGGGCACTTTGTTAAAATTCAATGAGTTAACCAGCATTTATTTCCTACCTGCTGTTTAGCAGGTGTTCACATCATTTTGAGATGAGGAACCTGAAAGAAGTTGAGTGACCAAGGTCCTCTGGGAAATTAATAATGGCTCACTCTCCTGAGACAATAAACTGCTCCCTACCCCTACCACCAGCTTCCTCATAAGCCCAAACCCCATGTCCTGTCCGCCCCCAAAACAAGGGGACTGTGGCCAGGTGCCTGGATCAGTTACTGAGGGCTCCTTTCCTTTGCAGTGTATGGTCATCGAGAGGGTGGGACGGCGGGTGCTGCTGATAGGGGGCTACTGCCTGATGGCCTGCTGGGGCAGCATCTTCACAGTGGCCCTGTGCCTACAGGTAGCTGAGGAGGTGGGGGAGGTGGATGAGGGGGTGGGTGACTGGGCAAAGCCTGAGCTCCACCTCACCCCAACTACTCTGCCCTTCTGCTGTAGAGTTCCTTCCCCTGGATGTCCTACCTGGCCATGTGTTGCATATTTGCCTTCATCCTCAGCTTTGGCATTGGCCCCGGTGAGTGAGTCCAAGGGCCTTTGGGCTTTGGTTCTTGCTGAAGTCATGATGGATGTCTGGGTGGGTGATGAGTGCGTGTGAACGTAGTGTTGCCTACATTCAACCCACCTGGACTGAGGCTTCTTGGAGGGAATGGCTGGAAGAAAGCACCAAGAGTATCCCACTACCAATCTGGGAGCAAGGCATGCTGGCAGCACCGTCCCTTATCTTTCCTTCCAGCTGGAGTGACGGGGATCCTGGCCACAGAGCTGTTTGACCAGGTGGCTCGACCTGCTGCCTACATGATCTATGGGTCACTAATGTGGATCATGCTCTTCCTGGCAGGGCTGGGATTCCCCTTCCTCATGGTAGGCACCCCCCAACCCCACTCCCACCCTTGCCATGTTGGTTCTTAACTGAGCAAAGAGGGGCAAGTATTTCATTAGGACCTGTCATGGGGCCTCTATCTGGGGGCGGACTGGAGCTACCACAGGTCTTGAGGTCTCTTTTAACCCACAGGAGGGCTTGGCCCACTTCATCTATGTGCCTTTCCTCTGTGTCTGTATCTGTGCGGCCGTCTACACTGGTTTCTTCCTCCCTGAGACAAAAGGCAAGACATTCCTGGAAATATCTGAGGAAATTCACAGACTCAACTCCAGGCGGAAGAGCCAGGGCCCCATGTGGAGAGGTCCAAAGGTCATCCAGTCCACAGAACTCTAGCTCCTGAGCAAGGCTGGGGCCAGGTCCAGTTTCTCTTCCCTTTGCTTCCTGCAGGGGTCTTGGCCCTTCTCCCTTCACTTGCTCCTGCATTCATTCAACAGGTGCTCATTGAACACCTACTGTGTGCAGGCATGGTCCCAGGTACTTAGCAGTCACTGGTGAGCCAGAGAGACAGGATCTAGGACCTCTTGGTGTTCACCATCAGAGGCGGTTAACAGGAAAAGAATAAAAACATAGCTGCAAACTTGGGGAATGCAAGGGAAGAAAACTACTAGGTGTGAAGGGTATGCATTGCTAGGAGGGCCTGATTCAGTCTGAGTGGGAAGTGGACAGAAAAGAATATTTTCTAAGGAATTGATTTTTTAAAAATCAACTTTCTTGAGGTATCAACATTAAGTATATATTTGAAGAGTTTTGACAGATATACCTGTGAAACTACCACCACAATCAATATATACGGCGTTTACATCACCCCAAAAGTTCCTTCATGGCCCTTTGCAGTCAATAACTCACCCCATACTCAGGTAACCACTGTCCTGCTTCCAGTCACCATAGGTCAGATTTATCTTTTTTAGAATTTGATATAATTCCATATGTAGTATGCATTTATGTTTGACTTTGCTCCAGATGCATGAGTCAGTATGTAATACTTTGTCTCGCCGAGTTGTACTCCACTGTATGCATATACCATAATTTGTTCACCCATTGACCTGTTGGTGGACATTTGGGGTGATGCTAATTCTTGGCCATCATGAATAAAACTGCTGTGAACATTCCTGCACATGTTGTCACATAAAATGTGTTTTTATTCTTTTGGGTAGATGAATTGCTGAGCTTATTAATGACTGTATGTTCAACTGTAGAGAAAATTGTTTTCTAAGTGATTATATTGTTATATTCCCACTAGCAAGAGAATTCTGGATACTCCAAATCCTTGTCACTACTTGGTGTTGTCAGTCTTTTTTTTTTTTTTAAAGATTTATTTATTTTATGCATACAAGAGCTGGGGCACAGGCCAGAGGTGTGGGGGGGTGAGAGGATTCACCAGAGACAAAGTGGGGAACAGAACAGGCAGATTGACTGAAATACACTGCTGAGGGGAGCAGCGGGCAAGACAGGAGAGGTCTGCTGCGCCATGTGGGTTGTTCCCTGACAGGGGATTGAACTAGTGCTTCAGGTCAGTGGCTGCGGATAGCTTCACAGGTTGCATCTTAACCCCTTGGGCCACCCAGGAGGCCCTGGTGTTGTCAATCTTTTAACTTAACCATTCAAGTGGGTTTATAATGGTGTCTTGTGGTGGTTAAAGATGTTGAGCATCTTTTAATGTGCTTGGTTTGGCCATTCATGTATCTTCTTTTGTGCAGACTACTTAAATCTTTTGTCTGCTATTTATGATTTTTAAAGCAGTTTGAATTTCACAGCAGAATTGAAAGTACAGATCTCCCATATACTCCTACCCACACATGCACAGCCTTCTCTATTATTAATCTTCCCCCCCAAAGTGGTACATTTATTATAATCCATGAACCTGCATTAACTTCATTATCACCCAAAGGCCTTGATTTACATTAGGGTTCACTCCTATTGTTGTAAGTTCTCTGGATTTGGACAATTGTAGAATGAGATGACTCTACCATTGCAATAATATTCAGAGTATTTTCACAGCCCTAAAAATCTTTACTCTACCTTGTCATCCCTCCATCTCCCCAGTCCTTGGCCACCACTGATCTTTTTACCGTCTCCATAATTTGGTGTTTCCCAGAATGTCATGTACAGTGTGTAGACTTTTCATATTGGCTTTTTTCACTTAGTAATGTGCATATAAGTGTCCTCCATGTATTTTCATGGCTTGATAGTTCATTTCTTTCTTCTTTTTAAAGATTTATTTATACAAGAACCGGGGTACAGGCCATATGTGCGGGAGGGTGAGAGGATTCACCAGAGACAGAGCGGGGAGCAGAACAGGCAGACTGACGAAATACACTGCTGAGGGGAGCAGCGGGCGAGACAGGAGAGGTCTGCCATGCCATGTGGGACCTTCTCCGATCTGCCGGGATTGAACCGGCGCTGCAGAGGCTGCCGACAGCTTCACAGCGCTACACTCAACCGCCTGCACCACTGGGGGTTGGGGGGGCCGATAGTTCGTTTCTTTTTAATGCTAAATAATATGCCATTTCCTCCCCGGTGGCGCAGCGGTTGAGCGCTGGGTTGCGAAGCTGCCGGCGACCTCTGCGGCGCTGGTTCCGATCCCCGGCTGCTCCCCGGTCACCGGAGGAGGGTCCCACATGGCGCGCAGACCTCTCCTGCCGCCCGCTGCTCCCCTCAGCAGTGTACTTCGTTTGTCTGCCTGCTCTGCTCCCCGCTCTGGCTCTGGTGAATTCTCTCACCCTCCCGCGCTTCTGACTGTACCCAGTGCATGTATAAACAAAAACGAACGAACAAACAAACAAACAAATAAATAAAACATGCCTCTATAAAAAAAAAAAAGAGCCAAAAAAAAAAATAAATAATATGCCATTGTCTGGGTGTACCAAATAATATGCCATTGTCTGGGTGTACCACAGTTTATCCATTTACCTTGAACATCTTGGTTGCTTCCAAGTTTTAGTAATTATGAACAGCTATAAACATATGTACAGGATTGTGTGACATACACTTTCAACTCATTTGGGTAAATACTGAGTGTGATTGCTGGATCATATGGTAAGAGGATACTTAGTTTTGTAGGCAACTGCCAAACAGCCTTCCAAATTGTACCATTTTGCATTCTCATTAGCAATGAATGAGAGTTCTAAATCCTCTCCAGAATTTGTGGGTCATTGTGTTGGGTTTTCACCATTCTAATTGGAGTATGGTGGTGTCTTGTTTCAATTTGCCTTTCCTTAATGACATAGGATATGAAGTATCTTTTCAAATGCTTACTTGTCATCCATATATCTTTGGTGATGTGTCAAGGACATTGGCCCATTTAAAAAAACAAATTATTGGGCCTCCCTGGTGGCGCAGCGGTTGAGCGCTGGGTTGCGAAGCTGCCCGCAGCCTTTGCATTGCCGGTTCGATCCCCAGTTGCTCCCCGGCCACTGGTGGAGGGTCCCACATGGCGCGCAGACCTCTCCTGCCGCCCGCTGCTCCCCTCAGCAGTGTACTTCGCTCCTTCTGCCTGCTATGCTCCCTGCTCTGGCTCTGGTGAGTTCTCTCACCCTCCCGTGCTTCTGACTGTCCCCAGTGCATGTATAAACAAAACAAACAAACAAACAAACAAATAAATAAATAAAAACATGCCTCTATAAATAAAAATAAATAAATAAAAATAAAAACAACAACAACAAATTATTTGTTTTCTTACTGTTGCGTTTTAGTTCATTATATATTTTAGATAATTCTCCTATAAGGTATGTCTTTTGCAAATATTTCCCCCCAGTCCCTGGCTTGTCTTTTCCTTGACATTATCTTTTGTAGAACAGAAATTTTTAAGTTTAAGGAAATTCAGCTTATCAATTCTTTTACTCATGGATCATACCTTTGGTTGGTATATCTAAAAGGTCATCTACCAAGCCCACGGTCATTTAGATTTTCTTCTTGTGACCACTATTTTTTATAGGGTTCTTTGACATTACTTTCGAGTTGTGGACATTCTTTATATAGTCCAGGAGACAGTACTCTGTTAAATATGTGTCACAAGTAGTTTCAGGTCTACTGCTTGCCTTTTCATGTTCTTAATAGCATCTTTTTAAGAGCAGACATTTTTTAATTTTGATAAAGCCCATTTTATCAATTTTATCTTTTGTCATTCATGTTTTTTGAGTCATACATAGCTTTGCCTATCTTTTATTTTTTAAATTTTTTAAAAGATATATTTACTTATATATCCAAGAACTGGGGTATATATCTAAGAACTGCACCCCACAGGTGCAGGGGGTGAGAGTGGGGAACAGAACAGGCAGAGTGACTGAAATACACTACTGAGGGGAGCAGCGGGCAAGACAGGAGAAGTCTGCTGTGCCATGTGGGTCAGCTCCCTGGCTGGGTTAGCTCCCTGGCAGGGGATCGACTGGTGCTACAAAGGTTGCGGACAGCTTCATGTGCTGTGCTTAACCCCTTGCACCACCAGAGAGGCCCTGCCTATCTTTTAGATAAGACTGTTTAGAAAACATGTCTGGGAGAAGGAAAGAGGGTATCAGGCAATCTCACAGTGAGGGGCTGGCAGGCCCTCCCTCCTCTCTCATGCCCTCCTTCCAGCATGGGTGACCAGGTCCTTTCAACAAGATGTTCAGCTGGGAGTGGGCTGTCCAACTTCAGGGTCTGGCACTCTTGTGGGGTATAGTCCTCTTTATCTAGCTGATGTTTCCCCACGTGGTAGGTCTCTTTCTCCTCTTCTGCCATGCAGTCCTCACTGTGGGACATGGCATTCGATAAACTCTCTGCCAGCCAGGAATTACATTGAGGCTGTAAATGAAAACCCCAATAAGCAGTGCTTTGATAGAGGCTTATTTTTCTCCTTCAACTGAAGGGACTCGGCAAAGCCATCAAGTTCTCAGGGTTGCTACTCCCACCTCCTACCTCCTTTACCTGTTTTTTCAGCTCACATTAGCCTGACAGCTACTATAAATCTGGGGTCCAGTTCATGTTCCAGATGGTGGAGGAGGAAAAGGGTAGAGTGGCACCTCCTTCAGCAAAGAACTGATTCCATATAAGACCTATACTCACATGGGTCATAGCCACCTCATGTGGTCACATTTGGTTGCCAGGGGCTCTGAGGCACTGAATGGTCTAACCTTTTAGTGAGGGTCTTCCTCTTAGTGAGGAAGCAGGAAGAGGATCTTGGCAGGTCAGCAGCCATGTCTGCTAACGCCTCCTGGTGCGGGTGTCCTGTTATTCAGTTCATTATTAAGCTTCTAGTGATACCAACATTATCACTTTTCCATTGGTCCTAGAACAAATTACAAGTTTACCAACTTAAAACAACATGTAATTTATTATCTCACAGTTTCCGTGGGTCAGAAATCCAGCACAAAGAGACTGGGTCTTCTGCTTATGGTCTCACATGACCTAAGTCAAGATATCTCAAGGTCAACTAGGGAAAAAACTCACTTCCAAGTCCATTCAAGTTGTTGGCAGAATTCACTTCCTTGCAGTTGCACAACTGAGGCTTCCAGCCCCCTTCTTCAAAGTCAGTAACAGCGGGAGTCCTCCTCCTGCTTCGAGTCTGACTTCCCCTTCTGTTGCATCTCTGACACTAGCTGGAGAAAATCCTCTGCTTTTAAGGGCTTATGTGATTACATTGGACCCATGCACGAAAACCTCCTTGTTTTAAGGTCTGCAGCCCTAATTACATCTGCAAAGTCCCTTTTGCCATGCAACGTAACATATTCACAGGTTCCAGGGATTAGGGCAAAGATGGGCAAAGACAGCTTTGGATGCCAACTGTCTACCCCTGAGATAATGGGCCAAGAGGTAGGCATACAGCAGTGGATAAAAAGAGAGTCCCCCACCCTCATGGAGCTTACCACCTGGAAAGAAAGCATTAACTTACAAACAGAAATGTGGTTTATGCTTCAAAGGACATGATGGGCACTGGGCATGTCTTGGAACCTGACCCCACCAGCAGCTCTGAGCTTGAGTCAGATGAGGGAAAGTGTGAGCAAACCACATCTGAGTACCAACACCTTCACCTGGCACTAAAGGGCCTTGCTCACAACTCAGAGCACAGGGAACTTGGTGCAACACATGGGTGGAGACCAGGTCTGCATTGTGACAGTACTACTTCGGGTATCATAGGGTACTATCACTAGGTCGTTTAATCCTCACAACATTGCTCTGTAGGGTGAATACTGTCATTCCCCAACAGGTGGGGAAACTGAGGCTCGGAGAGGTTAGCCAAGTATCCTAGCTAGTAACAGGCGAGACTGGTATCATATAAGCCTCTCAGATGTCCTTCTAGAAAGATGGTGCTGACTGCTAATGGAAACAGGGAGGGTAGTATATTAGATGGCAAATGGCTCAGAGAGGTCCAGATTAGCATAGGAAAGCTCCCCTATTCTGTAATAACAACCTGAAAATCACAGTGGCTCACCTAAAAGGACATCACAGGTGTTTGCAGGAGAGGATCCACCTTGTCACTCACTTCACTTTCTCCAAGAACAGATGAACCAGGTGCTGGTTTTTGAATCTTCTGCCCGACATCACTCATGTCACTTTTGTTCACATTTCGCTGGGCAAGTCAACATGGCCAGATTGGTTGCTTGTGAGTGGGGAAGCAAGGGAACAGGTAGCTTCTCTAGGAAGGCCAGTCTACTAAGGGGATTATATTACAGGGTTCAGGCCAGCAAAGGCAATGCCTTCTGACTTAGACCAAGGTGGTGGTGGTGGTGGTGGTGGTAGTAGAGAAATTAGGATATGGTGGACAGTGAAGGGAGGCACATTTCACTGGCAGGGGATCAGATGTGGGAGGAACAGGATTTGGATTTATGGAGCAGGAAGTGCTGAGTTGGCTTCTGGCACTCAGAGACGAGCCCTGGGGTGGAGACATGGCCAACAGCATCATTTCATCACTGGGAACAAAGGGAGCCCTGGCCACAGGTAAGATGTGAGGTTTTGATAGGAGGGAAGCAGAGGAACCCAGCTAGTGGAACCAACACTTACGGGCTATTTGCAGAACTGGGCCGTGGGCCCTCCTGATTGAAGGCTACTGTATCACATGGCCATTGTAAAACTTGTGTGTGCTGTGCCACCTTAACCAGATTGCACCTGCCAGAGACCAAGGACAGGACTTTTCTGGAGAGCTTTAAGGACATGGCCAAACACAACATGTCCCCTCAAGCCCCTGAGAGTCACTCCTCAGCACAGCACCGTGAACCGGGGTATTCAGGAAGGAGTGTCCACTTCTGCCCAGTGATGGCAGGACCTGCAGGCTTATCTCTCGCCCTCAGTATGGCCACGGCCTGAATCAAGTTGTTCCCTGGCCCTCTTCTTGCCATGTCCTGACTGTCTTCATTTCATTCAGCCAGATTTAGTCCTTGTCTCTTGTGTGCTTGGCACGCACCAGATGGCCCCTTCCCCAGCTTACCATTAGTGCAGGGAAAGAATTCACCAGGAGTTGCGTGAGAGGGCAGCCCCAGAGGACCTGACTAGGGCGGGGCTTCCTGAGGAGCTGCAGTTCCCGGACCTGCAGAGAAGTTGCCCGAGAGCCCCGAGGTTTGGGCGTGCGCTCCGGGGCAGCTGCTGACCGCAGCGCGGGGCTGTCTCCGCCTCACCTCTTACTCCCCGCGCCCCGGCTCGCGGCTCTCAGCATCCTCACCCACTTGAAGATCATCCGCACACGCCCCCAGACTGCTGCCCCCAGAGACTCAGGGCACAAGGGGGCTCAGAGCCTACGGAGGGATGAGCTGGGACTTCACCTGGCGGGGGAAGGCCGGCGGCGGGATCCTGAGGACACGGGCCCCGCGGCTCCGCTCAGCGCCAGGCCCGCACCTCCCGGCACAGGACGCCCCGCCACACCCCGAGCCTAAATGCAAGGGCTAGCAAAGACTCGAGGCCGCTTTCCGGCCCCCAAGCGGTGAAGGGCTGGCTCGCGGGCGGCGGGCTCGCGGGTCCCGGGAGCGGCCGGAGGTGACGTCACCAGCCAGGCGGGAGCCGCGGCCGCGGGGGCGGGCCTCGGCCGGCGGTGACGTCACGCGGGGCGGGGCCACAGCCTCCCTCCCGGCCGCACGTAGCTCAGGCTCTCCCGCCGCGGCGCGCGCCTCTCGGTTGCTCCGCTCCGGCCCTCGCCTGTCTACCGCCGTCATGCCGATGTTCGTCGTGAACACCAACGTCCCCCGCGCCTCGGTGCCGGACGGACTCCTCTCCGAGCTAACCCAGCAGCTGGCGCAGGCCACTGGGAAGCCGCCCCAGGTGTGCGGGAGTGAACTGGAGGAGGGGTCGCCCGCGGGACTGGGTGTTCCCAGGCTGGGAGCGGGGAGGCGACTCCGGGGTGAGGCGGTGGGCTCGGGAGGGACGGGGGCGCCCGGGGCCTGCGAGGGCGCTCAGGCGGGCTGGCCGCGCCCTGTCCCTGCAGTACATCGCGGTGCACGTGGTCCCAGACCAGCTCATGGCCTTCGGTGGCTCCAGCGAACCTTGCGCGCTCTGCAGCCTGCACAGCATCGGCAAGATCGGCGGTGCGCAGAACCGCGCCTACAGCAAGATGCTGTGCGCGCTGCTTGCCGAGCGTCTGCGCGTCAGCCCGGATCGGTGCGTGGGGCGCGGCGCGGCGGGGCGGGGGGCGAGGGGGGGCGCGCGCGCGCATTTCACACCCGTGGCCGCGCGGTGCGCTGAGCTGGGCTTCACCCCCTGCAGGATCTACATCAACTACTACGACATGAGCGCGGCCAACGTGGGCTGGAACAGCTCCACCTTCGCCTAAGGCGCCCGACGACTCCGTTGACGACACGCCTGCACTGGCCTGGCCCAGGCAGGCCTCACCTCTGTCAGTGTTGTATCCCCCGCTCCCGGCGACCCCACGTCCGGGTCTGGGGAAATAAACGGTTTGGACACCACGGGCTTCCTTGGTTGCTGACGAATGGGTGGGTGCAGGGTCTGGGCAATCACCGGGAGCCTAGCCAGGGAGGGGTGCCCCCTCGGAATCGACTGTTCCGGTGCCTTTTGCCTAGTCTTGCATTCCTCCCCTTAGCAGAAGCCCTTGGCAACGTGCTCAACCACAGACCTAGGAATCAGTCTCGAGTCTACTCTACCTCCTACCTCAAGGTTTGCAGCTTTTGCCTTCCCAGGGCCCTTTTATGACTCGCTTATGACTCGGCTGGGCAGGAACCCAGAGATGACTGTGAAGGGCAGGGCCACCACAGTGGGTCAGAAAGAGGGGGAGGGAGCAGTTGGTACCGGTCTGAAGGGTAAGAGGGCTAGCTGGACCTGGACCTTTCTCTCTGTCCCACCTTCCTCCTTCCAAATGGGCAAAAAAATGCCTGCCTCCCCCTGCCCTCATCACTCCCGTGGAGGCTGGTATGCCAGTTACTTGGCCTGGAAAATCCTGTTCTGGAACTTTGGGACAATTTTCAGATGTGTGTGTGTGTGTGTGCGTGCGTGCGTATGTTGGTGAGGAGAGGGTGCATGAGAAGTGGAGTTCTTGTTTATACTCCCCTGTCTAACTCCATTCTATGCCTGGACTCTTCTCCTTTCCAGCACCCAAGCCCCATCACAGTTCCTGAGATAACAGTAGGCCTGCACTTTTGGTGTCAGTGCACCCTATTAGGACAGTCTTTCCCTGAGGGCATGGTCAAGAAAAAAGTCAGTATCAAGGCCCAGGGTGACTGGGATCTCCTAACTAGGAGGCCTGAAGCCAAGTATAAGGGCTTCTTCCCAGGGTGGTAGTAAGGCAATAGGCACTTTTAACTCCTGTCCCTGTGCTATAAGGGCCTCAGTTGCCCACCCTCTAAACAGGGAAGTTCAGGTTACCCAGGCCAGTTGCCTTTGGGCTAAAATGCCTCACCTCTGCAGTGGAGAACTTCCGTGCTCTACAGCAACAACTCCTTCCAGCCACTAGCTGGAAATTCATGTCCTTGGAGTTGACGTAGTTGACCAGGGTCAGCACCTGTCTCAGCTAAAGGGAAGGGCCAGCTTGACCCTGCACTGCCTGCTCTGTGGGAGAGGTCAAGTTTATTTCAGCTGCTTGCACAGAGTGGTCTCCCTGCTCATGTGATCCCCGGGGGGCTTGGAAAAGGTAGGACCTCACTTCTGGACTCCAGCTTTCCCTGGGCCCTTGAGACCCCTTCATCCTCTAGGTAAGAACATCCTAGATGCAAGGTGGTTTGTTAAATTTCATAGAATTTTAGTGCTTTTGCTTTTGCAAACTGGAGGGGTGCTATCTGAATTAAGCCTTTGGAGACTGTTACTTCATTTTGGATGTTGGGAGTGATGTTGCCTCTGAACCACAGGCAGTGACAGGCTGCTTTGTGTGTGTGCAGAGGCCTGGGACCCAGGTGCTAAAAGCTTCTTCCTTGGGACAGCTGCCTGTGCCTCAGCCTGTGCTGTACTCACTGTCCTTGCATGCGTTCACCTGTGTGGTTCTGGTGTGAACAGTCAGCAGGTATGGGCAAGAAGCTCCAAGTGCCCAGCCCAGGCTAGAAACATGAAAAGTCATTTTGTTGTCCAGTTATGGCTGAGTTCAGAACCACCCAGGCCCCAGAGCTGCTGCTTTCTATATGGACCCACGCTCACACCCCCTTCTTCCATCGCAGAGTTCTTGGCATTATTCTCAGGCAACCCACCCTTGCCAGTTTGCTCAAGATGCCTGAGAACTGCTCTGCTTCTTAGGCCAGGTTTTAGAGGTACTCTCCCCACTTAGCCCCAAGTCAACTCATCACATTCAGCCCTGGCCAGCTAGTTTTACTTCCAGAAAAGCAATGGGAATGGTTGAGGTAATTTAGAGGAAAGAGGGAGGAGAATCAGAGCTCTGGGGAGTCTGGGAAGGTCTAGCCCATCCTTTTTTTTTTTTTTTTTTTTTTTTGGTGGCAGGGGAGAGAGACATGCAGCTCTTCCACAAAGGTTGCCGAGGACCTGGCCCCTTCTCACCTCGGTCACATTCTGTCCTCAGTGAAAGGGCCATGAAGCCCCATATCTGTCTCTGCTGGAGGATAAGTTGGAGAGGGAGGTGGGGGGAGGAAGAGGAGGGAGTATCCTGGCCCCAGCTATAGCCAAAGGTCCCACTCATCCTAGCCTGGCTTATTGCTGGGATCTCTTTTAAGGATATGAGCGCTTTTCTTGTAATAGGCTCCCACCTTGGCCCTGGCCTTTGCTGTACCCTCTCAGCTCCTGAGTGCCTCCAGCCTGCCAGTTGCCAGCAAAGAACCTCTTTCCTCAGCTTCAGACCCCATCCCATCTGGACCTGCTCCTCTTAGCCTTTACTTCTTAGAACCTGCATGAGACATGGTCATGTGAAAGCCAGGATATAGGTCTCTGTGATTCTAGCCCAACTCCCTTATTTCACAGATGAGGACACTGGCTCCTGGTCTTCTAGGAATGCTAGGCTGGCTACCTCTGCCTTGGCCATGTTTATGCACCCACTGCCCTGAGCTAGGGCTCTTGTCTTACAGCCTCACACTAGCAATGGGTATCTTCTTAGCTAACACTGGGTCACTGAGGGGGCTGGCAGGGCAGGCTAGAGAGGATCATGGGAAGCAGGAGTATGCAACATGGTTTAATGCCCTCCCATGAACCTGAAAGTGTCAGCTGCTGAGCAGCTGGAGCATGTGCAAGGCAGTGACTGGCTCCTTGGAATCCAAGGGAAAGGCAGCATCTGTGGGTCACGAATGCAAGAATCTTGGACCTGCCCACCAGGTTCCCAAGTCCCCTGGAGCTAATAATTGGGCCTGTAGGGTAGGCAACTGCCGCACCCCATCAAGTTATGTTCTGTGCCCTATCCCAGTCCCCTTCTACACCCCCCGCCCCTCCCGGCCAGCCCCAGTCCTCCAAAGCATGGAGTCCATCCATGGAGCAGCTTGTCCATGGAGCAGCTTGCCCCTAAATTTACTCGTGGCTGCCTGAGGGCCCATAGTCATACAGTTAACCTCCGAAATGGCAGTAGAAACTCATTTCCAAATGATACCTCAGACTGAGGTGTGGGACAGATGAGATGGGACACAGACTGCCACTTGTTCAGTGGTGCTGTGTCATCTGTGGAAGACCTCTGGCCTACAGGGTGACATGAGTGTTCTCACAGCCGCTTTCCCTGGCAACCTTGAAGCTTGCCTTGCAGGTGCTGTTCCTTCTGCATGGAAAGAAAGGGCCATGAAGCCCCATATCTGTCCCCCACCTGCCCATTGTGAGCCCTACACCACACTCTGCTAGGAAGTCTTCCCTGAGGCCACCCTGTGTGGGACCACACCAACATCCCTCTGCTCCCACCTAGGTCCTGTTAACTGGGGTTTCTCTTGTGTTCCTCCCCCCTCCCACCCCATACCCCCAGCATCCTGCGAGTGGTAAACAGAATGAAGGCAGCTGCACCCAGTTCTTTGATGTCTGGGCTGCAACTCCCCAGGCACACGTTTGTTGCAAATGTCCCACTGTCCCCTGCCTCAGGGCCTGCCTCCATCCAACTGGGAGTCAAGTGCCTGTGTTCTGCTCTCCTTCCAGGCCTCTGTTTCCCTACCCCCATCTGAAAAGAAGGGTTTCACCAGATATCCTTCACCATTCTGAGAGTATCATGGGACATCTCAGCACCAGGGGTGCCATTACTGCAAATTACTGAGGGAGGGAAAGGAGCCAATGAACGACTTGTGTCCATACTCTTGGTAAAATGAAACTCCTTCCCTGGGGGCAATGCAGGAGTGTGGGCAATTGTCTTCCCAGCCTGTGTGACTGGCAGGCCTGATGAGGAAGACCCAGGTGGGGCACAAGGTCCTTGAGAAAGCAGCTGCAGCATTGCTAGGGAGCCTGGTGATGGTGCCCACCAGTTGCAGAAACTAGCAGGTCAGCCCTGGGGCTACTCTGCTCCCTCTAAAGCAATAGATTAATAAAAGGCCAAGCTCAGTTACCTAGGAGAGGTCAGCTAATTCCCAAAGCTTAGGAAGTTTTCAGTGTTTCTGGATTACTGATGTCTTTGATTCCTTCATTTACCGGGCAACTAAGTGTTGGCCCCCTAAACTGTAAAGCCCTTTCCTGACTACCTAGTCCCCCTTCTCATCTGAGAAGTTGCAAAGTCAGGTCCCAGCCCTTCAGGTCTCCCAGCAAAAATTCTAGAACCAACTGGGATAGGGGCACAAATGCAAAACTTAAGCCTCAGTCCAGATTTCCTTTCCTTTTATGTAGGCACACCTCATGCCTATGTTTGAAGCCCATGTATAAAGCAAAAATTGTCAATTTTCAGAAATTTACTGTCCTCTTACTCCTGGGATGTCAACCCCCAACTGGGAATAGTGAAGTCCAGACTTGATTTCACAGGTCCAGCTCCCAAAACATGCACACAGCACTTCTAATTCAAAGCTACAAGTAAGTCTCATTCTGGGTTCCCAGCCATCTGGTTTCCTCATTTTATTCTCATATTAATCGGTAGTATGTCTACATGGCTCAAATTCAAAGCGTTTCAAGGATCCACAGAAGGCTTCATTCTGCCACTTTCCTCCACAGGGTAAACCTCTCTCAAATCCCTCTGGAGATATTTTATGTGTATGCAAGCAAATATGTATAACACCATCTCTTCTCCCTTCCCTATGAAACAGTAACTGTATACCAGTTTTGCACTTTGATTTTTTGTACTTAAAAGTCTATCTCTGCATGAAGAGCATCCAGTATTCTTTTGTTGGGACAGACCACAATTCATTTAACGAGCCTCTAATAGCACTTTCCAGCCTTTAGGGCTTACCTCTGCTCTACTGAATTACACGTGTAAATACATCTGTAGGAAAGCTTTCTAGAAGTACCATTGCTGGTCAAAGGCAATGCTGTTTTAATAAGGCCTCTTAGCGGTGGTGCCCCCAGCAGGGCACAGGAGTAGTCTTCCAGCCCAAGACTGACTTTTGGCTGTCTGATGGGAAAAAATGCTTTTCTTTCTTTCAGAAAGAAAAATGCTT